GGGGCCCAGGTGACACCGGGGCGAGGACGCCGAGCTCTCCCTGCGCGGGGCGGGACGTGTTCCGCCCGGGACGGCGTGACTTGGCGGCGGGGCGCACGGGCCGGGTGACAGTGACAGGGAGGGCAGCCAGGGGCTCGCGGGGTCGTGAGGGAGACCGCGTCGGCCCGCCAAGGCGGCCGGACGCGCAGTGGCAGCGCCGCTGCTGTTCACACTTGAGGGACGTGAAGGAGGCTGGGTGTCCCGGGATCCCTGCAGAGGGGTGTGTGAAAGAGAGAGACATGTGCGACTGCATGTGACCATAGAGCGGATGTAGCGATTTTTTAAAATATATATACATATTTTTTCATCTTCTCAGTCAGCCCTCTTCTCAAAGGACGAGATTTTTACTTGACAACCTAAGTGGGTTGAAAAACACCGTTTGGCAGATTTTTTTTCCTCTTTCTTTCTAGTGTCCTTTCATTCTTTGTGTACTGTCTTGCTGTTAAATTTTATGCGGTCTTTCAGAGGATTCCTTAGACTCCTTGAGTTTTCAAGTACGTGCTTACATATGTGTTATGACTTTTCTTCAGTGATAGTACCATGTTAAAATTTTTGCTCTGTGGTAAATGTAGCTATCTATTGTCGTCCCCCCCCCCATTCGTTGATATGTTCTTTGAAAGCTCCTTAAAAGTGTATGTAAAATAAAAAATTTTACATCATATGAAGAAAGAACATTACTTAAGATGTTACAAAGTGTGCTGGGTTTAATGTTTGCTTTAAATACATGTGAAGAGATAGCTGCACCGCTTGCTATGAGGATTTTTGATAAATAACAATTCTTTTTGACATATTCAGACAGTTGTAAAGAATAGGACATGAGTAATAATTTTATTTCTACTAAATTTGCAAATTATAATTTCACCCATAAACTTACTATTTCACCTTAACTCTTGGTTGCGTATAGTCTATTACAGTTAAATGCCGAGAAGAGGTGGCAAAGCATCCAGTTATGCTCTTCATATTTTGGGAACTCAGAATTATGTTCAGACATCTGTGAGACTGAATTTGTAATATTGTCTGTATTGCTTTCTAACTGCAGTCCGGTAGACCAGTAAGGATTTAGTGACATGTTCCTCCTTGGGTCTGAGGGTAAAAAAAAAAAAAAAATGTTTGTTAGTTTGAAGTTGTTATTTAGCTACTGATATATACCAGGGTGTGAAACAATAATCTGTTTGCTGTGGTTATAATTCACACTAGAAATATTAACCAACATGTAGTAGTTGTCTGAGAAACTTAAGATTCACAAAAGTTGTTTTATTTTTTTATTACATCTCCTCCACGCAGCAGTAAGGCCTGCATCCCAGGTCATGCCCATATTCTGTGCCTCAAGATCATCAGCTTTGGAAGGAGGGTCCAGCCCCATGGGTGAGAAAAGCCCTGTAGGTTTCCCTGTGGAACTAATAACTGTCTGTTAAGCACATACTTGCCATTTGCAAATGTCCAGGGATAAATACAAGCAGGGGGACATTTTAAAAGTTTGATTTATCAGTAAAATTAAACTGTGGTGTATGCAGTGGGAGACAGAAGTGTCTTTCAACTTTGTATAGGGCTTTAGAAGTTATTTTGGCAGTGGTGGTCATTAAAAGAGTTGCCCTGAAGGTTCCACAAGGTAAATTACTTGCAGGAGAGCATGCTTCACTCCAGGAAGAATTTTCTTCTCTGCAGATGTCACTTCAAGTGAGTTACTTTTGTCAGAAACAGCCCTTCAAAAGAAAAGAACTAGAAATACCCTCACTGTAGAGAAATTTCAGTGCTGAGCCACCCTTCTTTTTGGTATCTAAGATCAAGATTTAGGAAGCCAATATACTTTTTCTAAAAATTACCTTATTCAGAATACTCTCCTGCAGAGCCTTTAATTTATTTGTTTATTTTTGATGACATCACTGAGAGAGATTAAAGATTAGGTTCTACGCAGATGGAGCATCTGGAATGTGTTTTTTCCTTTTGAATTGATTTCTACCTAGAAACGGTATTTCTGTTTATCTTGTCATTCTTTGAAGTCCTTTTTTCCTAACTCTGGAAATTCCAAGATTGCAGCGTGGCATCATTTCTCTGTACAGACATACAGCTATTTTAGCCAAAGAGGGTGGATATAAACAGAGCATTCCTGCTTTTCCAGGGTCCAGTTTCGGGCCATCTCAAATTTTCTTTAGTTATAGGCAAACAGGCTGTCACACTTCCTGTTCGCGCATGGGCTCATTACTTTAAAGTAGCCTGACAAGTCGCAGAAGGACCCTACAATAATTTCCCTCGGCTAATGTGAAGGGAGAGAGGTAGGAGATAAAATGTTGTGAAGGCCAAAAACACCTGTGTGAAGGAAAATGATTGCCTCAGGTAATCTCTTAATTCAGGCTTTTAGCATTTTTTCATATAGTTATATAAATTTGATTGTTCCCTCTTCCAGAGTATTTGGTGTGATCCTCCCATACACAAAACAAGAGGACTGCTATCCAGATCTATACCAGCTTCCAGAAACATTGTCCTTGTTCTGTATACCTCTAATTATTTTTTGCATTGTTCATTCTGAAGGTAAAATTTTTATACTGCCAACTCTAACATTTCGTGATAAGCAATGCTGAATGTTAAGACAGGGATCAGGACCGCATAATTATCTAAGTTTCAGCTTGTCTTTTTAGAACTTAGTTTTGAAAATCTAGTTCTCATTAAGTCCCCAAAACAAATGTTTATAGGTTTTTACCCAGAGACAAATGTTCACAATTTCACCCTTATTTTCTATCAGCATTGGTAGCAAAGCACCATTACTTACATAACTGGCCACCTTGGTTAAAACTCTAATGTTTTGTCGTTCTCCCCTTCCTTTGGCTAATTCAACTATCTTTAGAAGTTTGTTTTACATCCAGTTAATGTCTTTCTGGTTTTATGTGATCAAATGTTTCTAAAGATTTACCTGTGAGGTCTTCCAAAGTTAGGTTGTAATGGAAAAATGTATCTCAATCATTTATATTTCTGTATAAGTTTAAACTTTTTTAAATGTTCAATTTAGATTCTAAAGTGATATTTACATGGTTTTCTATTTTTTGTATTTTCAGTTTTCAGAACTAATAATTTTAAGAGAAAAGGCTCAGATGTTAAATTGTTTTGGCACAGGATTTATACTTTGATTTCTAGACATCAAAAGAACGTTTTCCCCATCATCCGCTTTGAACTAAGCAACAAGAGAACACTACTAGTGTGTCACGCACACTTTCTGCTTACAGGTAGACTTAGCCCAGCAGCTATCACCTGAAAGGGCTTTACCTCCCACCTGAGCTTTCTCTACCTGAACTTTCTCTTTTTCTGTGCCCTTAGCTATCTTTCACAGCTTTTCATACCTTACTTGGAGTCAGAAAACAGATTCTGTCCAGTCTCCTTTTGTGTCATTTTTATATTGCAGATGCTGGCTGGCTGGTTTCTGAGGCTCACCAAATCTCTTTTAGTCATAATCTTCCTGTTGCTCGGAATCCTAATAGTTGTGTGAGCCCCGAAGAGAGACTCCTGATTGCCCATCTGTCCGCCAAACCCAGTGTCTACCCTGTGTCAACTTTCCTCTACCCTTGTGGAAATCTGTGCCCTGTGGCCCAGGTTCCTAGGCTTGACACACAAGGGCAAGTGAGCCTTTCTTTGTGCTTAACCCTGTGGTATTTCCTGTACATACTGAGTTCTTAGATATTTATCTTAGTGGATGGTTCATACTAATTTGTGACAAATCATATTCCCTGAGCTGTTGTCCTTGACCCAACCTAGTTCTGTGACTCCCCCCACCCCTTATTGAAGCCATTTACTCCCGAATGCAGACACTGGGAATTACTGATCTTTGTATCCCCTAAAATTCCCCACGTTGTACATGGTAGAAGCTTTAAGGACAAACAAAAACCAACTTTAAAATAAGTGGTTATCATTTTATTAAACTGTTAATGGAAGATGATGGCATGATGTGTTTATGAGATGAACATCTGGTCCATGCATATTTCTCCAGGTGGGCATCAGTCCAGCATGGTCAGCTGCAGATAAGCTACCTCACACAAAAGGCCGCGTGAGTTTTCTTCTCTTATATTTCCAGTTGTCTTCATTGCCCATCTGGCAAGTAGTGATGCTATTTCCAGAATCCTACTTTTACTTCTGTGACTTTGTGTATGTGACAAAAACAGTGGAAAACTTAAATTTAGGACAGTGAAAAAAATTGGTGAAAAGTGAGAAGAAGGGAAGTAGAAAGCCAAAAACAAAAAAAATCTGGTTTTAATAAGAAAAGTGCAAGGTCCTACTTAGTATGTGTGTAAGAGGCAGAGCAGCTCCATGGAGCAACGGGCAGAGCTCCTATCTCAGCATGGTGCCCGTTTCCTAAACTAGCAAGGCCAGCTCTGTAGCCACAGAGGGAGAGAGACTGACAGTTTCACTCCAGGTAAAGAGAAACCAAGCCTTCTTCCTACAGCTAAGGCTAGTTCAGTCGTTTGAAAAGATGTCTTCTATTGTGCCCCGATTGGCCATTTTTGGTAGATACAGCAGTCTTCTAGGACTCAAAAATAGTAATTCCAATTGTCTGTATTCAGCATTTAAAGTGACAATTTGGAAAAACCTAAAGCATATTTATTCTACAGCGTGGTAACTTGTAAGAAGTGATTTGTGGTCTGGCAGGTGGAATCCTCTGATTTCAGATTAGAAACTTAATTCTTACCATTTAGATTCTGGCACAACTGTAAAATTTCACAATTAAGAAAGGACCATAGATTCTACGTTTGGCCTCAGTAATCTCCACTAGTGAGCCATTTCCATGTGGATTTAATGTGGCCTGCTTTAAAATCCATAGGAAGATCGGTGTGTAAACCAGGAGTTACATTTGGCTGCTAGTACTCCTAAATAATAGTCACTATCTTTTCCTCTGAGCCATGTTTTCAGGCATGATGTCAAGGTTGCCCAGTGGTCATAAAATGATCTCTGGACTCCAACCAGCATGTTCTTATTCCAAGAAGAAAGAATAGGGGAATGAAAATAGCAATCTCAGTTCAGTCATGTCCCGTTTTTCAGGAGCTTTCTGCATTGCCCCGAACAACTACTATTCAGTACCATTTAGTCCCTGGCCACTAGGAGAGACTTGGAAATTGAAATGGTTTTACCAAGGCAGATCAGGGGAAAGGATATGAGTGGGTGCCATGACCCCTAAACCTGGTGCAGCTCCCACACTGAATTATTCAGTCATTCATTTATTCTTTCAAGTAAAACTAATGGAGGATTTTTCAAGTATCAGGCTCAGAACTAGTAGGTAGATGCTGGTTTGAGTTTTGGTTCATTACCTCTTTTAGAAATGATTCATTGTGGAGCAGTTTTAGGGAGGCTTTTATCTTACATATTTTTGGTAGCTGTGTCTATGCAGAGACAGAAGACCTGAGAATCTACTTGTGGGCATGGTGGCAGTATTAGTCTATGCTAACTTTTCTCCTTAACTCTTCATTTGTATGTCCTCATTTAGATGGCTAGCAGGCTTCTGAGGTTGGCAAAAGCAGGTATCCAGCCCGTTTTATAGTCATAGGTGTCTTAAGTGTGGAGCTGAATGCCATATAACTTAGGATGGCTTAAGCTGAGGCCAATCCTAGGTTTTACTATGGTTCAGTAAAAAAGTACTCAGGAGGTAAAGGGGGAGGAGCTCAGGCTCCCCATTTCTGCAACAAAAGATACCTTTTGAACAGGTGGATTATATGTATTTCATACCCTTTTGAAAGGCTTGCTGTTAGAACCAATTGTAGACTCCACGGCACACTCCCTCCTCTTCCAGATCTTCATATGGAAGCTCCTTGCTATTCCTTGGGACTCAATTCATGTGTCATCTCCTCACAGATCATTGGTGATGGCCCTATTTAAGACACACGTAATGCTATTTCCCTCTCCTCCATGCCCCCTAGTTAAACCATTAGCACAACTTTCTCCTCAGTTTGTTCATGACACTTACCTTACTCTAAGGAAAAATTATTTGCTTTCATTTTCTTTTTTTTTTTTTATTTTATTTATTTGAGAGAGAGAGAGAGAGAGAGAGAGAGAGAGAGAGAGAGAGAGAGAGAGTGGTGTGTGTGTGTGGCCAGCTCAGCCCACCAGGGGGCGCGACTGGCTGGCATGTGGTGCTGGGGGATTGAACCGTGGTCCCTGATGCTTTGCGAAGCTTGTTCTAAGTAGGTGCTTTAGACCACTGAGCCATCTCTCCAGCCCCTGCTTTCATTTTCTGAACTCTGTAGAATATAACCTCTTTGAGGATAAGTACCTTGTCCCTCTTGTTCTGCTTTTTAATCTCTAGAATCTAGAACAATGCCTGACTCATAATTGTTCAGTCAATATTCAATGAATGATGTTTCTCTATCATATATAGCTTTAATATCCTTTTAATATCCATTATCATATCCAGCAGATATGATAATGCCTAATGCTGAAAGTTGTATTGATTAAATAAAACTAGTGAGCACCAAATATTAATATTTTACCCCTGCTAATTAGATTTGAGACCACCCTGACAGCCTTAAATTTCTCAGTTTCCTTATCTATAAAATAGAGCTTTATATGTAAGGCCATCTTCCCTAGTGATTGTAGAAAGGAATGAAACCCTCTGGCACCCTGCTTAGTACAGGGTCTCACACATTTAAAAAAGTTGCTTGATAAAGTTTAACAACTGTATGGCCTAGGACAAGTTACAAATCCTCTATCAATTTATATTTCCCAATGATAATTCCCTTCATCCAGCATGGTAATGAGTATTAAATGAAATCACCTATTAGACATGAACATTACCATGTCAGATAACAGTAGCTAGTCTCACCCCTCATCTCAGCACTGTCCCATAGAACTTCCTAAGATGTCAGTAAATTTTTGTATGTCTACTGTCTAGTGTAGTAGCCACTAACCACATGTGTCTACTCAGAACTTCTTGTGGTTGATGTGACCAAGGAGCTGAACTGCTGAATAATTAGCTTACATCTACATAGCCATAGGTGCCTAGGGCACTGGACCGCACAAACTAAGAAACAGATCTGGGAGTTTCCAGGCTTGATGAAATTCAACTTTGTGCTTCTGTCAGATTCAAAAGGCTAGAGCTGTGACTCTGGGAACCCTAAAGTTCTATTTTCCCAGCCTCCCTCTTCTATCTAGTCCCCCCAAAATATTCCTTTTGATTTGTCTGTGTGCTATAAAAATACCTGCATGTTCTAGAGGTGAAAATAAATTTGAAGCAGTTTTTGTTCTTCAGCTCAATAATTCAAATCCCAGCACAGGATGTCTGTGCATCTGCTTCACCAAGTGCCTGCACCAACCACTGGCAGGAATTCAACTCAGCAACTTGGGAAGCATATCCCCAAGTGGAAGGTAGAGCAGGATTATCTGGGAGATGAAATGGGTCCCCCCACCTAGGAAAAGTTAAGTCATTACATCCCACCCCAACACAGCAAACAACCCAACTCATCATACTAAGTGTGGTCCATTTGGGGATGAACGAATGAGAGGTACAGAAAAAACAAACCATAATTTTAAATGTTGATTTGTAGCACATCAAAGTGACTAATAACAATTCCAGAAATAGTCTGATTAAGATGAGTGCATAAGAAGCAATAATCATGCCTTGATGAGTTCAGAGTGTTGTAAACATCTGCCTATGTTTCTGAAGAATACAACAACTATTAGGATTCCAAAGGAAAGGAGGTAAATTTTAAGAGATTTCAATTTTGATTTACATGAGTACTTTTTGTCCTGTAATTAAAATTTGGGGGATTTGATTTCATTTTAGAAATTTTAATTTATCTTTAGATAATGGTGCTATAATTTTACAACACTGTGGATATTCTGAGATTGGTGGAAAAATCCAAGGCCCTTGATATCGGAAGTTTCCTTAGACATTGTAATTAGGTTTTTTAGCTCATAAATAATTCCTGACATTTATTTCTATAGATGTTTAATGAGTCTCTAATAAGCCTTATTCAAATAGGTTTGTGTAGAACCACATGAATGTTTCTTATAAACCAGGATTCATACTTTGAAATTATCCATAAAATTGTTTAAAATTCTGTCTCCAAACTACAAGCTGCTAACCCTGGATGGTCAAATCAGGTCTGTGATCTCAACTAGAGTATGGTATAGATCCAAGGGGCATTTGACAATATCTTGAGATAATTTTGATTGTCACCACTTTGGAAGAGGGGAATAATTGGCAACTGGCAGGTACAGGGGTCTTATTTCTAGAATAAATAAAATGAGTTTATTTGTGTAGTGCCACTATCTTATTTTTAAGTAATGAAAAGCATCTTGAGATATATAAGCCAAAGGAAATTTTATCCCTTTTAAAAATTTTCCTTTAAGCCAGTCACATTTATAGCATCTAGATTGTTAAATACTTTACAGGTATAATACTGAGTGTGGTGGTAGTTATTGACTCTATACAAATGATTGGTTCACCAGTGAGCTGATGTTCATGGGGCTGTGGCCAAAGTTTGAAATGCTGGACAACATATTAGGTGTGCCACAAACTAAGCTAATGGACTTCTTAAATTTTTTGGTGTGTAATATAAATTAAATCATCACCCATTTTTACTCTTCAGCTTCCATTCAAAGTAACTATATAAGAATGCTTAAAGTACACAAATACAGACATACATGTTCATATGCTTAACATATTTGTAAGTAACATATCAGTATGCGTATGCAGATAAAAACTGTGTAACCAAGAAGTAAAATAAACTCTGGCATCAGAATAATGTTTCTCAATCTTTTATATTACCTCCCACTGAGAGAGAATTTTAAAAAATTTTCCTAACTGTACCTCCCCAATGAAATTTTAGTACAGTATCATACTATCGTACATATACAGTTCTACATATGTATGTATCTGTTTATGTATTCATAAATGTCTGTGCTTCACAGATAAAAATAATAGCATTTTTCTCACACTCCCAAGAACCAGTCTTCATTCCTTTGGGGACCATACCTCACCCTTTGGAGAATGCATAATTATTAGAGTAGGACGGAGTTGGAATTGCTTCAAGTTCTGTGTTAGTATATTGTATAACTTTACAAAAATCCTTGAAGATATTGTGAATTCAGTTTTAGACTACTACAGTGAAGCAAATGCCAAAATAAAGCAAATCACATGGATTTTTTTGGCTTCTGAATGTTTATACTGTACTACAGTCTATTAAGGATACAATAACACAGCGTTTAAAAGCAACAATGTATATATCTTGATTAAAACATACATAACTGCAAAAATATACTAACCATCTTCAAACCTGTTGGAAAACTGGTGTCTGTAGACTTGCTCAACACAGAGTGGCCACAAACTTTCAATTTGCAAAAAAAAAAAACAGTGTCTGGAAGGTCCTATAAATCCAGAGGCAATAAATGAGGTGTACCTGTGTATAATTCAGCAGTTCAGCTTCTAAGTCTTTACCCAAGAGAAATGAAAACTTATTCGTTATAAATTCATACACAAGATTCTTTGTGGGGGTGATGAAAATGTTTAAAATTAAAGTGTTATAATTGTGTATAGCACTATGAATATACTAAAAAAAATTACAAATTTTATACTTTAAGCGACTGGGTTATGTGATATGCAAGTAGTTAGTTACCTCTGCTCTTTGTTTTCTTTTCCTTGGTTTTTTTTTGTTTTTTTTTTGTTTTTTTTTTTGTAAATCAGGAATTGAACTCACCACCTTGTCCTCGCTAGGCAGGTGCTGTGCCACTGAGCTATATTCAAGTAGTTATTATCTCAAAGCTTTTTAAAATTAATTTTAGTGGTATATTTTAGATATACATAATGATCACATTCATTAGAGGAAGTCTGTACTTATATATTTCTATATTCTTTTTCCCAACCCTCCTTCAACCCTCTTTCCCTCCTTATTTGCAAAAGCTCTATTCCTATTTTCTTGTATTCTTTTTTCTTTCCCTTTCTTCCTTTCCCCTTCTCCCATCCCTTGTTTCTCATACCATTTGAATATTTTCTTCATATTTCCCCCATCCTATCTGTTATACATTTTGGTTCTTATTTACCCTTTCAGTTTCTCCCTTTAGAGAAACAATGTGACATTTAAGCATGTGTCTGATTTATTTCATTTAAGAGTATGGTCAACAAAGCTTTTTTAAAAAAGAAGATACATAGTACTCTCCATCTATTACCTACTAGGAGTCAAGTCTCATCTCTGCCTGTTCCCCTGGTAATTGCTAATTTACTTTCTGCTTTTATGGATTGGCGTTGTCTTGACATTTCATGCAAATGAAATCAATCTGTGACCTTTTGTACTTGGCTTCTTTCTTTTAGTGTAATGTTTTCAAGTTTCACTCGTGGTGTAGCATGTATCAATTCTTCATTCTTTTTTGTTCTGTTATATGGATATGCCACATTTTGTTTATTCATGCGTCAGTTGATGAATGTTGAGGCAGATTTAACTTTTGACTATTGTGAGTAATGCTGTTGTGGACATTCATGTACACATTTTTGTGTGGACTTGTTTTCAGTTTTCTTGGCTTTATACCGAGAAGCAGAATCTCTGGGTCATTTAGTAACTCTACGTTTGATGTTTTGAGCGGTTGCTAGACTATTTACCTAGGTGGCTGTGCCATTTTACACTTCTACCAACAACTGATTTTAAGTGAGGACTGGCTTTATACTTCTTAAAGTGAGTTTCCCAAGTCCTTGGCCAGGGTCTCCCTTCTTTGTCCTTCATACAAGGTCACATGGTTCCTTGAGTGCCAGGTTAGTAATTGTAGGGTTTTTCATCCTTCTTCCAAACACACACACACACACACACACACACACACACTATTTTCAAGTCTTTCTTGAATCATATATATTCCAACCAGGAACCTCATAGATTGAGCTTCTTTGAGACTTTCTCTCTTTAAAATAGATTATATTCCTCAGGCCTTTGTCTCCTTTTAATAAAATCATCTTAAAAAAAAAAAAATATATATATATATATATTACACATATAGATAGATATATCTTTGCTCCTAATACTGAAACTTTGTTAGATATATACATCTCATTTTTCTGTTTCAGCTCTGTTTTGTATAGTTAACTCAATCACACCATACATAGCACTACAACAGATGGCCAAGGCATTCATATAGGGTTTTCTCCAGGTGTCTGTCTCTGAAAGTCAGTGAGTGGGTCAGAGAATCAGTCTGAGCATAGCCAGCCATTGCACATTCTCAAATATTTTAAGCCTATACTATATCTTGGGGATGGGAATAACAAATTCCATAGAGGGATTGCGCTTAGTTCAGATTGTGTTCATTTTACTGCATGGCCACTGAAAACTTTTCAGAGTTGCAGTCCGGGTCAACAAAAGAGATTTGGTAAAAATGTGACTTGATGTTATTCCCTTAATAATGTAACAGAGCAGGATATTAACTTATAAGCCATAATCTTTTCTTATAAATCCTCATGGCTTTGCCCATTCTCACATGCAGAATATGTGTAATGTGTTCACAATCTCCCAAGTACTGCACCAGCTGCTCATTTTTCCAAGGTCCTGTGTGCCCACCTTTGGTTCTGGCACAGATTAAACACTACGTGCTCAGTGAAGGCTATTGAATGAGGGAATACGTCTTGTTTCCTAAATGCAGTACATATTCCACATAGCACGTACACTGCCACATAGACATGTATTTATTCTCTTTTGCAGGCTATCGGCTGTACTCTGAACTGTGGTTGTCAAAGCTTCAAACCTGGGAAAATAAACCACCGTCAGTGTGAGCAATGCAGACATGGTTGGGTAGCTCATGGTAACTGACTTTTTACACTCTCTTGGTCTATAGTATCCCCTATTAACCCACCATTACTAGGGACTGAATATGGTTTACTATCTAAGAATGACAGCTAATTTATAAATTTCTTGTATGTGCTTGGTTACAGGCTAAAAGTTTTATATGTACCTCTGAATTTTAATGGCTCTATTAGTGTCTTGTTAACCCTCTTCTAAAGATATAGAAATTGGTGCTTTGGAGCTGTTTATTTTGCAGTAACAGAGAAATGTTCTGTGCTACTAAGCAGCTTCTAGTTTTATAGTTTAAATATACCCCAAGTTATTATGCTTATTCATTGCCAAACCTGACAGCTCCATCCTAGCCATTTGTAGCTACCAAGTACTTGAGATATAACTAATATGAACAAAGAGTGGAATTTCTAATTGTATTTAATTTTAACTTATTTTAATATACATTTAAATAGCCACATGTGGCTGCTGAGTATTGCCTTGGATAGTTTGGAGTTAGGTGGTTTAATCTATCCAGCAGCATAAGCAGCTCATTAGGGCTCCAGCCCAGATTACCTAGATTCCCAAGCCCAGGTTCTTCAGCACCAGGATCTTCGTTTCCTAAGTGTTCATCCTCTTGATTATATACTTTCTTCCTTTGCATTTCATCCTTTTCCTTGTCCTTCCATGTTTGTGACAATATCATTCCTTAGGGATATCACAAGAAAAGGAGAAAAGTCTTAAGTCAGTCAATTTTATTTTAGAATTTCTTGTAACTTGAAGCTTGATAGCTATTAAGGTTATTAGTCATTTGTGTATTCATGTTTTTTTCTGTGGAAACAGATAACTAAGAATCAGCCTGAGTCTGCTTTCTGTGCCTTTAAAAGTGGTATTTCTTCAATTTGATTTTCAGCTCTAAGTAAGCTGAGGATTCCCCCTATGTATCCAACAAGCCAGGTGGAAATTGTCCAGTCCAATGTGGTGTTTGACATTAGCAGCCTCATGCTCTATGGAACTCAGGCCATCCCTGTACGCCTGAAAATCCTCCTAGATCGGCTCTTCAGCGTACTGAAGCAAGATGAGGTACTCCAGATCCTCCATGCCTTGGACTGGACTCTGCAGGATTACATCCGTGGATACGTGCTGCAGGTACCACTCTTCTGAAATGAGTGCCCTTGGAACTGATTAACCCAGTTCTCTACAAATAATTAGGGTCATTAATGTCACCCTTTAGTATTTTTATAATGACTTGAGCCCCACCTCCTGTTCTTGGAGGAGCCCCATGTTTTCCCCAACATACCTGTCAGGTTGTGGGAGCTTGACACATTCTCTGATAAGGGTTTCACTGAACTGCCACTTCTGCAGCAAACCATTTGTCCCGTGTTCAGTGCTGCCTCTATGTTTCATTAGCCCCAAACTATCCACTGACTCAAGATGCCGTCTATAAGATTTTACTGAAAATTTGGAGGTGAAAGGAAACTTACATTCCAGATCAAACAGCAAACAACTTAACAGTTTTGTGCCACTTTTTACCATTCTTTAAAGCCTTTTGCTTTCCTGCTGACTTACCTTCCTGGGCTCCAGTTCATGTAATATTCATGTTCTTGTACTTGTTCATTCTCTGTCCCAGCCCCTACCCATACCCTCTTCTGTTTTCCTTTCTTCCTCCTCACAGTTCCCCTTTGGCCTCCTCCTACTTTTTCTTCTTTTTTCTAACATTCCATATTCTCAATCCCTTCTTTTCTCTTTATTTTCAGAGTAATTTAACCTTATTCCCATACCATGCCATTGGTGTAAAGCTTCATGTGTCATATTCAAAGATGTCAGGTATTTTGACAAGTAAAGAACATGTTTCCTGAAAATGAATTGTATTTTTTCCTTTGAAACAGCTATAGCACTTTTTTTCTTGCCACTACCCTGCAAAATGTCAGCTAATTTTGGTTAAAAATTAAACATAAGATGAGTAACATAAGCTTCAGTCTTATACAGACTATATTATTAAAACAAACACTAATGAAAAGCATTTATTAACTTAGATGTTTTTCCATTGATCTTTTAAGGTAAGTATATTGTCCCCATTTTCAATTTGAAAAACCAGAAGCTCAGAGTCCTTTAATACCTTGCTGAAAATCATTCCGCACGTATGTGGCACATTCAGAATTTGAACCTACTTCTGCCTCACTCTAAAGCCCATAATTTTTATCTAGAAACACGTTTGCTCACCTCTAGTCCAGGACCCCCAGCAGTCTAAAAATAACCATTTATGTAGAGTAGCACTCTGATTTTACATTATGACATAGATCAATATTTAATGATACTAATAATCTTGCTTTCTAGTGTTAGGATTAAAAATATGGAATCAATTACCTTGAGTCTCTAGTGCATGAAAAATTTATGATGTTACATTCCTCATCATCTTCAAAACTCTTACATGCATTGTGAAAAATCTCAGTAGGCCATCAAATACATGTTCTGTGATAAAATATTTATTGTAGTTTTTGGGAAAAGTTCAGCCTTACTAGAGTTTGAAAGATCTCCAACACTCCAGTGTAATTACAGCTCTGCTTTGTGAACATGGGTAGTAGATCAATATAGGTTCATTTGTTTTCTGATGGTAGTTGCTTAGGAAGATTATTAAACTTGCAGCAAATGAATACTTGAGCTATATCTAGGCCTGAGTGCTCCATCTGAAGTCTTTAGATAAAGAAGTTGTTATTGTTCAAATGATACATATTTTAATTTTAGTGGGGAAAATTACTATGCCTGAAGCAAGACAACCAGTTGGTTTGAAATAAGATAAAATGTAATAACCAAATTTCTCTGACTTCAGTTTGAATAGTATAGTTTTTTTTCTTTTTAAAGAGAAAAGAAGTGGTTAGAATAAAGAAGGAAATATTAGAAATGATACAGAACTTTACTAAACAAAATAATAGGAATGACTCTGATTGTAATATTACATAATGTTATACCACGTGATTTATGTGCAGACATGTTTATAGCAGTATAATATGTCATGGCTAAATCTTAGAAACAACCTAAATGCCTATCAAATAAGGAATGGATAAAAAAAGATGTGGTATTTTTGCACAATAGATTATTACTCAGCTATAGAAAGTGATAAACTCAAGGCTTTTATAGGTAAATGGATGCAACTAGAGATCACATGGGTAAGGTAAGTCAGACCTGTGTGTGTAAACATCATAGTGTCTCGCTCGTGTTAAGAACCTGAAAGAGTAACAATAAAGAGAACCTGAAAGAGTAAGAACTTGATAAATGGAAAGGAAAAACTGGGATGAGGAAAAAGACAAAAGAAAGAAGGGAACAAGATATATTTATGTATATATACAGGATGGCTTGAATAATTGTACTGCTGATTTCTATTGGTCTATTGAAAGGAGCAGTTAATGCTTAAATTTTTCTTTTGTTTTTTTTCTTTTTAATTTCTTATAACTTTTCAAAGCAATTTTTCATGTTTATATCTGGTAATCTAAACAACTGATTTGAAGATAACATGGATAGCATAGTTTTATTTCTCTCTTCTGGATCATGTGTAGGATCACTACTTACATTTGAGCAGTTTGTGTCATTCACAGAGTTTCTAGTCAGGAGTCAAACTCTACAAGCAAGGGGACATCCTTTTCTGACATGTGCCAATGTTCCCTATAGCCTAGTGGAGCCCTAATCAGATTGTTGTTTTCTTGGAGAAAAGACTGAAGTTCAGTAAACTGACCATACTTTTAAATTCTGATTTGGTTTAGGATGCATCAGGGAAGGTATTGGATCATTGGAACATCATGACCAGTGAGGAGGAAGTAGCCACTTTACAGCAGTTCCTTCGTTTTGGAGAGACCAAGTCCATAGTGGAGCTCATGGCAATTCAGGAGAAAGAAGAACAGGCCATCATCATACCCTCTTCCACAGCAAATGTAGATATTAGGGCTTTTATTGAAAGCTGCAGCCACAGGAGTGCTGGTCTCCCCACCCCTGTGGATAAAGGAAGCCCTAGCAGTGTGCACCCTTTTGAGAACCTCATAAACAACATGACCTTCATGCTGCCTTTCCAATTCTTCAACCCTCTGCCTCCTGCACTGATAGGGTCACTGCCTGAACAGTATATGCTAGAGCAGAGTCAGGACCAAAGCCATGACCCCAAACAGGAAATCCATGGGCCATTCTCTGACAGCAGCTTCTTAACTTCCAACTCCACACCATTTCAGATTGAAAAGGAGCAGTGTTTAAACTGTCCAGATGTTATTACTCAAAAAGAAGATGGTGCCCATTTAAGTGACTCTAGCTCCTATAGCATAGTTACTAAGCTTGAAAGGACACAGTTATCCCCCGAGGCCAAAGTGAAACCTGAAAGGAACAGCCTTAGCACAAAGAAGGGCCGAGTGTTCTGCACTGCATGTGAGAAGACCTTCTACGACAAAGGTACCCTCAAGATCCACTACAACGCTGTCCACCTGAAGATCAAGCATAAGTGCACTATCGAAGGATGTAATATGGTGTTCAGCTCTCTGAGGAGCCGGAACCGCCACAGCGCCAACCCCAACCCTCGGCTCCACATGCCAATGAACAGAAATAACCGAGACAAAGATCTCAGGAACAGCCTAAACCTGGCAAGCTCTGAGAGCTACAAGCGCCCAGGGTTCACAGTGATGACTCCAGACTGTAGACCTCTCCCTGGCTACCCTGGTTCAGGGGAGGAATCCCCAGGCCAACCAGCCTTCTCGAGCATTGGCCAAGATGGTGTGCTTTTTCCCAACCTAAAGACAGTCCAGCCAGTCCTTCCTTTCTACCGCAGTCCAGCCACTCCCGCTGAACTTGCAAATACACCTGGGATACTACCTTCTCTCCCTCTGTTGTCCTCTTCAATCCCAGAACAGCTGGTTTCCAATGAAATGCCATTTGATGTTCTTCCCAAGAAGAAATCCCGCAAGTCCAGCATGCCTATTAAAATCGAGAAGGAAGCGGTGGAGATTGCTAATGAAAAGAGGCACAGCCTCAGCTCGGATGAAGACATGCCCCTGCAGGTGGTCAGTGAAGATGAGCCAGAAGCCTGTAGTCCCGTGTCAGACAGAACACCGGAGGAACAGCACTCACTGTTGGGAAGCTTAGGAAAGCCTCTTTCCCAAGGAGAAAGGCCCTGCCACCTGGAATCGGTGATTGAGTCCCATGGAGCCATCAGCCGAACCTCTGAGCAGACCACACACAGTTCAGAGAGGGAGTCTGAGCAGAAGCTAGCACTGACCCTGGTGCCAAGGGAGGTTGATGGTGATGGCCGTGAACACCACTTCACACCTGGATTGGAGCCCCGAGTTCCTTTTCCTGACTATGCAGAACTGCAGCAGCGCCTGCTGACTGGAGGACTTTTCGGTGCTTTATCCAACAGGGAAATAACCTTTCCTTGTCTTGAAAATTCCAAAGAACTACAGCACGTGAATCAGCATGTATTAGTGAGGCAGAAGGAAGAAACTCGCTTCCAGTGCGACATCTGCAACAAGACTTTCAAAAATGCTTGTGGGGTGAAAATGCATCACAAAAATATGCATGCCAAAGAGACGCACATGTGCACGGTGGAGGGCTGTGGTGCCACTTTCCCGTCCCGAAGGAGCAGAGACAGGTAAGGCATCTGCTGGCTGTCACTTTTGCTAAAGAAGTGATTATTAAACTTCCACATGCATCAGAAGCCCATGCAATTCTTAAAACACAGACTTCTGGCCCTATACCTAGAATTCTTCTTCAGAGGTCCAGGGTAAGCTCTGAACAGTCACATTTCTTGTAAGTTCTGTGTTACACTAATGTTGAGCTTCTGGGTACGCTAGTTTGAGAATCACTGTTTTGTAAGTTTTCATATTTCTAAACTTATTTCCAATTCCAAAAACCTTTTCCTATAAAAGCTAACCTAAAATGATAAGAGAGTGTGTGTGTTTGCTTTCTAGTTAACCTTTTTTATGTTTATTTAATATGAATATTTTATGTTTATTTGGTACAAAAATTTTAATGAATTTATTTGTTATAGGGAGATTAATATTCTGTTTCAGTATATGTGTTGTTCCGACTTTCTACAGTCAGAATTTCTGAATTTAGAACACATCTGGCCCCAGAGGTGTGGGATAAAAAGTCATGAGCTAATTTTCATATTAAAATCTTGGGCAAAAGATAAATACCTGAAAAGGACAAGGGAGGAAGCTTTTTAAATTATCACTATAGTTTATCGAAACTTGTCTGATTTCCATTTCTTAATATGAAGCCCCTCAAATGAGACATTTTCTCTGATTTCTAGTCAGCCATCAACATTAGAAATGGAGAATATCTGCTTGATTAAAGGTGGGTTTTTTTTAGATATTAAGGTATCAAAGAATAAAGGTGATTGGCAGGTCATTTCAGGGGCTGTGTGTCGGGATGAAAGATGTTTTTTCATGACAGGCAGAGAGGTAAACTGTTTATAGAATTCTATGTGTGGAGCCTGTTCTGTTGCTCCAGGGACCTAGCACTGGTGCTATCTTGCTTATGCTTTTTGTTAGAAACTTGGGTCTCTAGCCACTCATCAGATCACCCTTCTCCCCAGCCTGTCAAGGAAAGAGTAAGATGACCCAGGAGGTTTTGGGAGAGGATCAGCTGTCTGATGACATTCAATGCAATAAATACTAAATGGCCCACAGAATATTAAAATACTACATTCCTCAAGTAAGCTTGACTTGAAGCGGCTCAATACCTCTAACTTAGTCCAAATTGTAATATCTAATTGGTTAACAGGGTGAAAATGTACAGACTCCCACACACATTCCTGGATAGGCTCATAAGAACACACTCATTGTCTGTAGCAAAGAGGATAGAGCATGGGAGATATTAGTTAAAATTCCTGTTTCTGTTGCTAGGATGTTAAACCAAACCACTAGGATACCCTAATTAGTGAACCAGTCCTTCTCCTTCATCCTCCAAGAGGAGGAGTGTTTATTCATGAATAGGCCGTTGTTATAAAGTGGTAGTCATATTGGCCAGATTATCCTTGACATTTATGAGACTATTGTAGCCTACAGTATCTATTAAATTAGAACACATATTGTATTCAACATACTTTTTCATTTGATATTTATCTTTTCATTTATTTAATATTTTCTTTTATACTCTATTTGTAGACACGAGCCCCCGACATAATAGGAAATATCTTGTATTCTTAATTTAACACTATTAATTCTAGTAAATCTTATCTGAAATCTATGATTAAAATGACAACATGTTAAATAGGACTTTGTGGGTGGACCCAAGCCCACTACTGTTTCCTTGAGTCAGAGGTGACAGCCACATTGCTGTGAGGACTATTTACCTTCCCACTTTAAGCCACTGGTACTGCCAGGAGCTATTACCAGGACCCATCATGGAAGGACTGGAACAGCACCTTAGGTGCTTTTAACACCTTAGGTTTGTTAAGAATCTCTTGCAGTAGGTGCTAGGGAGACACAGTCCCTGCTCACAGAAGCTTTCTGGTGTAGTGGTAGAGACAACCATAAAAGGTGGGTACAATGGTGGCAGTGGGGGGAATGTAGGTACTGCTGGTAACTGGGAAGGCATGTAATGAGACTCCTTGAAAAGTAAAGGCTTCTAGGAAGAAGGGATATATCAAAATCAACAGCTCACAGATGTTTTGGCTTCAAAATCCTTTTATAGATACTTAGCTAAGGACTCTGTAGAATATTTCTCCATTTGGGTTATTGCGCTCAATATTTGCTATATTAGATATTAAAATTGAAGAATTTGTATTATATTGTTTTAATAAACATACCATGTTAGTATAATATTTTATGAAAAAACACACTTTTCCAAAACAAGTTTGATGAGGTGAGTGGCCTTGTTTTACATAGTTTCAAATTTCCTTAAATGTCTGGTTTAGTAGACAATAACTAGATTTGCATATCTGCTTCTGCATTCAGTCTGTTGTAATTATGTAATATCTGGAAAACTTCAGTGTACATTCGTGAGAGAAAGAGTAGGAAGGCCAATAATGTCTTCATTACTAAAGAGCTGTTGACTTCAGGAACTCCCTGAGAGTCCTTAGGGACCACTAGGATTGCTCAGACCACACTTTTCAGAACCACTGGCCTCAACTAAAATAAAATCAGGCAAAAAGTTGAAGCAAGAGTTAGGAGATTGAAAGGAGGATAAGGGCAATTGGCACAGGATATGTAAAGTCCTGAAAGTAGGAAGCCCAATGCATGGTCTATGCTGTCTCTTTGCAGTTGTCATAGTTACTCATCAAAGAGAACATGGAAACTGGAAGAGCATCTAACCCTGTAGGGCTTGAGAGGGAGAAAGAGGAGCTATAGATTAGCTCTTATTGTTAATGGGCTACTTAGGAGTTGGGCATAAGGCCTAAAGGTTGGCTTTTTTTGCAAAATGTGCCTTTCCACACAAGGTCCCAGTAAACGTATTTGTCTGACTTCTTAGACTACATGTCAGTCTAGTGCTGGTTTTCTGCTGACATATACCAGCCCCTTCCACTTGGAACACTGACATAATCACAGGGCAGAATGGCTGTTGAGAAGAGCTGTTTGCAAAGTGGGTGACTTGGGGGTATAATTCTGATTGTGCCCCCAAAAAAGCGTAGTGGATAAAGTAAGTCATAATGTAAATTTTATATATTTTATGAGAAGTGATTAAGCTTCCCACAAATACATGTCTTGAGAGATTGCAAAGAGAAAATTCCATTCTTGAGGCCGGGGAGATAGCTCAGCAGTCTAAGTGCCTGCCTGGCAAGTGCAAGGACCCAGGTTTGATCCCTAGCACCACATGCCATACCAGCTGTGCTCTGGGCCTGCCGAGCCAGCCACCGAAACTGGGCATGGTGGCACACACCTGTAATGCCAGTGCTGGGGAAGCTAAAACAGAAGGATTGCTATGTGTCTGAGCAGTGTAGCAAGACCCTGTACCAAATACATAATTTTTTAAATCCCATTCTTAGTTATTTCAATGAGGTGTTTTTCCCAGCATGACCCTGGCATACTTTCTGATCTGTATTGGGCGAGTCATTTTTTTCTGGGATCATTTTTTTGTCATCTTCAGGATTGCACCTCTCAGAAGTAGGAGCTGGTTTTGCTTGTAGGAGTTAGCGGAGCCCTAAGCACAAACAACATTGATTTACAAGTCATAACCAAATGATAACATATAAGCAAAAGACATGTGTCATAATGGATATTCATTATCTGCCCTCTAGGAGTAATCACTGGGTAGAAGATCAGTGGTGTGCTCACACTGCTGCATTTGCAAAACTTCTGTCTGGTATATGGTGAAACATTGAAAATATGAACTAAACTATACACGCACACACTTGCACATGTGTGCATGTGCACACACACACATTTATAACCAAATTTTTACCTATCCCTGTAGAATATCTGGTGTGAGGCATATACAAATGCTGCACACTAGAGCTTTCCAATTGAAAGAGGTCATTCACATGCGAGAGTTTTAATATTCTAACAGCAACACGAAGAAGATAAAAAGAAACAGTAAATTTTCATGACAGCTTATTTGCTCCAGTACATCTAAAACATTGTCATTTCAGTATATGACACTAGACACATTTCAGCTACTCAGTAACCAGGGCAGCTCAAGAAGATATTTCCTGGTTTCATCAAAATACAATCCTTTGCTTAATTCCTTGTAGTTTGTGACTCACATTATCCTAGGATCTTCTGGTTCCAGTATCCCAGTTAAATTGGCCTGATTTATTAACTGTTCACAAGAGATGAATTTTGTAGGAAGTTATGTGTCAGGCAGTGCGAATTGAAGTTTCCAGATTGCTGACTTTCTAGTGAATGCCAGCTTCTAACAAGCACTGAATGACAGTGGCCCAGTATCCTCTATAGGCACAGTACATCCCATTGGCCTAACCCCTTAATATCAATTTACCCATGCCACAAGCTTTTCTTGGTACCATGCTCTACTCAGAATGATGACTTTGTAAAACAGCAGCCCAACTCATTGCTAACTATTTTCACTCTTACAGACATAGTTCAAACCATAGTATCCACCAAAAAGTATTGAACCAAGAAGAATTGGACAGCAGTGAAGACCATTTCCATGCAGCCTACCTTCTGAAAGATGTGGCTAAGGAGGCCTATCAGGATGTGGCTTTCACACAGCAAGCATCCCAGACATCTGTTATCTTCAAAGGAACCAGTCGAATGGGCGGTCTGGTTTACCCAATAGCCCAAGTCCACAGTGCCAGCCTAGAGAACTACAACTCTGGCCCCCCGAGTGACGGTACTGTGCTGGATTTGAGCACTACCTCAAGCATGAAGTCAGAGAGCAGCAGCCATTCTTCCTGGGACTCTGATGGGGTGAGTGAGGAAGGTATTGTTCTTATGGAGGACAGTGATGGGAACTGTGAAGGACAAAGCCTTGTCCCTGGGGAAGATGAGTACCCTATCTGTGTCCTGATGGAGAAGGCTGACCAGAGCCTTGCCAGCCTGCCTTCTGGGTTGCCCATAACCTGTCACCTTTGCCAAAAGACATACAGTAACAAAGGGACCTTTAGAGCCCACTACAAAACTGTGCACCTCCGTCAGCTCCACAAATGCAAAGTGCCCGGCTGCAACACCATGTTTTCATCTGTTCGCAGTCGAAACAGACACAGCCAGAATCCCAACCTGCACAAGAGCCTGGCCTCATCTCCAAGTCACCTCCAGTAACAAATTGGCAGAACAAAAACTGTGACAAGAGTTTCTCGTAATTCAGGAATAAGGTAGTCCAAAGAAATGCTTCTGACTGTCTAATACCATTTGGGGTAAGCCAGGCAAAAAGTATCTGACTTGTCTATTTAGTTTTATATAGCAGAATATGCAAAAGACAAGCTTTGTGGGAAGTTGACTTTGGGGTATCCCTTCCTAGTACTATTTTTCTTAACCGAAGAGATATTTCACTAACATAAAGAAAACTTGCAGAAGTGCAGTTTTCTCCAGATTTGTTTACACATTCCCTGGAATGGCTTCCAGTCTGCAGATTAACAGTGGGGACCCAGGAGCTGGGGGCAGCTTCAAATGAAGCCTGCAGGATTAAGGGTATTTGGTGAAGAAATATCCTGGGGGAAAAGATTGTCACCACAGGAAAGATCTTGGTCCCCAAAATTCCATTTTCAGTTCCTTCTTTTACAGCCTTAAGTTCAGACTTGAGTTGGGGAACATGACTTTCTAGACCACCTTTCCATGTGGAGTGGAGAATGGCGCCCTCCCTCGTTCACAGGTTTCACATGTTATACCTGGGAGTTGCCAGAGGAAGCAAGGTTGGCTTCTACCGTGTTCCTTGTTAATTCTTGATCTATGATATACATTTAGAAGCTAAGGGGGAAATGTGCACTTAAAAGTAGTGGCCTTCAATTTAATTTAAACTGATTCTGATAATATTTAACTTGTGTTCGTGTTACGTATTTTGTATGAGTGTGGACAAGTCACAGTGGCACCTCTGGATCTCTGTTCAGATGCAGAACAAATGATGACTAACGCTGCAAAAGCGCTGCCCATTTTCATTTGGTGAATTTCAGCCTGTTCATTTTGACCCCCATGGAATGAGTGCAAGCATAATTCTGGCAGGAGACACCTTTTTTTTTTCCTCCCAGACATTTAGAGAACAAGGCTCTGATGGTTGTTATGTATTTTCACTATCACTGGATCCCTCCATCTTCACCCTTTTATAAATGTGTGAGATTAGGATGAACTTTGAAATTTCCTTGGTAGAAAGAAAAGTAGGACATTGTTGTCATACTATATGTCTTAATATTTAACTTATTCTGAAATATATTCCACACTGTTATACATGTTTGCTATTGTACAAAGAAGGTTTAATCAGCCTTATGGAATGAGACCGTCTCCTGAAATTTAGTATTCACAGCATCCTAAAAGCCTGCAGAGGCTAAAAAGAAATTTATTTTGTATTGAGTCCAAGTTAACTGTCTTTTAAACTCATGCTAATTTAACTAATAAAAAATATCCTTAAAGAAAATCAAGGGTTATAAGAAATACTCATTTGGCCTAGAGGTAAAAAAAAAAAAAAAAAAAAAAAAAAAAAAAGCAAAATCTTGTTACTGATCATTTCAGCTTCTTTTTTTAATTTTAATAAATGTGACCACTTAAAACTTATTTCTGCTTAAAGCAAGCTATATTTTCCAATTGTTTTCTTACCCAGATGTTTAATATTCTGATTTCCTCAAAGTGGAAAAATTTGTATAAAAATGTTTTCTATGATTTAATAAAAATATATGGCACACTTTTGTTTAAAAAGACAAATATTTGTAAAATAATTGTTATATGAACTGTCTTTTTACAAGTGCATGTGCATACACACACACACACACACACACACACACAGAGTGTATTTGACAGAACTAAAAATCCAGAGACCAGTTGGTAGATGGGAAGTGGTTTAAGTACTGCCCCCACAAAGCAGGAATCGTAGCAACCTAGAGGCTCAAATAGATAAGATGTGGTCATTTCATTGGGAGGATAGCTGAGTACTGATCTTTTATCAAAGAAAACACACAGTAAAATGATTTTTTAAAATTTTGCTATCAAAAGCTGGTGAGATAGCTCAGAAGACTAAGTGTCTGCTTAGGCACAGGAATGGGGATTCATCCCCAGCACCACACGCTGTACTGGCCCTGCCCCCAGGTGCACTGAGCCAGCCACTGAGACTAGGGATGGTGGTGCACGCCTGCAATCCCAGTGCTGGGGAGGCTGAAAACAGGAGGATCGCTATGAGTCCAAGCTTCATAGTGAGACACTGTACCAAATAAATATTTTTAAATGCTAATCAAAGGTCATTGCTCAAAATAGAATACAGTAAAACATTAAAGGCTCTTCTTAAGTAGGTAGTTTTATTTTTATTCCATAATTTTATTGAGAGACAAATAGCAATGAGACAGTTTCAAACCAAATTGGTAGGACAATTTCAATAATTAACACATTGCATACATTCTTCCTAGAGGTTAATTGCTATACAAGATGCGGATATGATATCCTATTTACAAACACCATTAGAACAAATCCCTCTATTCATTAAGAGAATGTAACTGTATACCTATCCTAACCACTTTGAATACAGAGATACAAAATGGACATTCATCTGTAGCCCCTTTTTTTGTTAAGTTCCATTATTTGAATATTATAGGTGTGTAAACTCAGCAAAATATTCTAAAAGAGTCCAGTAATCCATAATAGTATTGGGTCTCCCGCTTCACTGGCAATGTCAGAAATTGTTGACTTGAGTCTCCTACAGCTCAACATAACAGCATGACTTTACTTCTTATATTTCATCTTTATACTTTTCTGCTGGATGGTTAAGACCAAGGTAAAGCGGGACCTATGCAACAACAGTTGTAGCTTTTGGGTCTGATAAGGTCAGTGAAATTCCCTCAGGATTTATCCTGAGATCCTGTACCTCAGATTATGGAAACTTTGTCAGTGTCAGCCATGTGGATGAGTCACGGCCATTGCTTGGCCAATGTGCTCTCTGTTAAAGCCTGAGAGAATGTTTTCTCTCCATGTGACTTTCCTTAGGCACACTCTACATCATTGATCACTTTCCTCTTTGGCCCCATAATCTCCTTGATCAGAAAATTTGGGACATAACCGAGTTACATGACTAACGTTACAGTACAAGTTCTCATATGTCCTGAGTCTTAATTGACCTTGGAAGGCTAGGGCCAAAATGTTGGCTTTCTTTGCTGCCCTCCTTTTTCTCTAATTTTAGTCTGCAAACTTAGGTTGTTAACCATCCAGAAGACAAGCTTATTGTTACTACCATACAACCTAGGCTATTAAGCTTAACCTCACTATCTGTTTGAATATCAAACATCTTGGGCATAACATGGAACAGGTATTTTTCATCAAGTATTGATATATTGAACTTTAAATCCCTACAGAATATGATGAAAAAATATTTAAAAATTAGAATATATTTTTAAAAATAGGCATAAAGAATTATGTACTTCTTAT